TGAAACAGTACCACACCACCTCTTTAACTGCCCAGCACTTTGTGACCTGCGTAGCACCTACCAACCTGCCTCCCCAGACATCGGAAATACTCTATACAGCGACAAAGCACAGCTGATTAAAACCTGCAAATTCTTAGCCATATCGACAGACTGAAGGGCTAGAACCCAAATGGCCGCTGGATCGGAAAAGTAAAGTATACCCTCCCTTACAAAATGTGCAATTTCTCAAAAACTACTTGAGATATTTAGAAAATTTAAAAAAAACCCTGTGTTCAGCATTGAATTTCCTATAGGTACAACCATTAACTCAAAATGGTCAAAATCCGACTTTTGGTACATTTCTTTAGGCACACATACATATTTTGCCAGTGCACACAGAGGAACACAAAGTACAATATAGCTGGTTTTGTCTGACTTTTTGTGAAAATGATGAATATACTAGTATAGGACAATACCATCTATAGACTATTTTGCCTCACATTGTCAAATTGACGAGAGATAGAGAGAATGAAGAGAGAAATACTGACACAGAGAGAAAGATAGGGAGGGAGAGAGAAATAGATCAGCAGAAGACGGATGCAAAACAGACAGACAGACAGTTTAAAGACAAAATATAGTATCCTTTACTTGTAACACTCAAATTACCCTCCAGCATTTTGCAAAAGACTTGAATGAGAGTTTTTCTTTTAGAATCACGAAAATTGCAAACTCATGGGGTGCATGAATGAAAAATGGTTGACAGTAGAGATCTAGATTGCACTGTGTATATAAAATAAGAAGAACCAGTTTGAGTAAGTTCCTACAAGTATGACCGTATATCTTTTTGTACTCTCCTGTGCTGGAGACATCAGTAATGATTTCTTATAATCCATCTGCACAATCTTCATGAGATGATGTATGTTAATCAATAGATAAAGTTTTTACCCATCTCTTGGTCCCAGTTTCGAAGTGAACAGTTCCAGCGAAAACTGTAAACGATGAAACAGTTTTTTTCTCTCTCCTGAAAATGTTGCTTTCTGGACCAAGGAAAGTTGAACAGCTTGCCGCCAATATATAGGTACTGTTCGAACAAGATTTTATAGCTGGATCATGATAATAGAGGCTTTGTCAAGTGAAAGTTATTAACTCTTTTCATGCTCAGAGCCACACGCAACGTTATTGAAGCAATAAAATGTGGGTGCATAGTTCTCCCTTATAAAATTTTTTTTTCCCCCTTCAGCCTCAATTTTGTCAAGCGTTTAGAAGCGTGAGCTGTATTCACATTGTATCTCTTCCCTGATGTTGTTGGCAGTATGTGGCTTGTTTCATGCATGGATATAATAACTGAGAAATGTAAGGCATACAACACATAGTATAAGTATAAGGCTGTTCAATGCAATTTGTAATATCTTGAAACATTTTGTATTTGGAAGAGAATTCTAGGCTAGTTTATAATGACTTAATATCTATACAGACGTAAATAACTCACCAAAAGACACATTTTATGAAAATTCATTTATTTTCTAACTCTTTTGAGTCTGATACACTTATTCTCTGACACATTTTGATATATATTTATATGCCCCTTTATCAGAATTTCCACAAGTGAAAAACCCCCAACAAATTCTGGCCTAAACCCAAGCAAGTGAAAAGTAATTCAAGTGTTTCTCTTGCACAAGGAAATGCCCCCCCAGTGATGACTCAACCAGCAACAACAATTGTTTGGCCAACATTTGTTTTGCAATTATTGGAGAGCTTGCATTCATTAGGGCCTACCCACACTCCTTGTTCTTCCAGTATTGATTGTAAATGGAAATGCTTCCTTGTGTACATTGTGGCTATTTGTGATAATTAGTAAGGCAGTTGTGGCAACATGTGTGCATAAAATGATCTACTGTCCAAAGGATGTGCATGTGTTTTGTGGATGTATCACAGTGTGTGTCAGAGTTGTGAGAAGGGTAAATTAAGGACTTGTGGGGTCAATACTTCAAGAATGAAAAATGCTGTATTTTGGGGTAAAGTTTGCCTTTGCAGCCTCAAATAGCCTGGAGTTGATTTTATGTATATATATCATTATATATTATAAAAATACATATATACCTAGTGGTATGTTGGGCACTCAAATGTCTTCCTTGTAGTGCCCCCCACCCCTCAACTCCCACCATCTCTCATTTAACACAATTTTATAACATTAAGCTTTGCTTTTTTGTTTTTCTGTACTTTTTTGTATTTCTTGATACAATAATGTAGTTCAATTGTATCTAATACTTACAAAGCCTGCTCTACTCTGTCATTGACCAGATGACAAGGACATGTGGTTTCTTGAGGGAGGGAGGCATTCTTTGCTCTGCCATGAGCGAAAAGCTTGCAGCTAAAGGGATTTGAAAACAACAACAATTGTACCATATCTAAAACAGCATAGTTCCAATTATTTATCAGTGTGAAAGTGTGCATGATGTTAACAGAAATATAATGAAGAGCAACATGAACGCCATTAACTAACAACTCTTCTTGTGTCTGGGAAATAATTGGTATCTGTACCAGATTACTATTACTTGTACTTTCAGAAGTGACCGCAGGCATCTGAACAGTGGTCACTGGTAGCGTGGTGACTGTACCAAGTGATCATGACAGCTGGAAGTTCTGATGAAGATGAGGAGACTTTGTTTGATGTCTCTCCGCCTGGGAATGAAGACAGTGAGTGTTTTGATATTTTATTTGTATTAGTTCTACTCCAACTATATAATATGTACCATGTCATATGATGGGGATAACAAGTCGGCCACTGTGGTGCTGTAGGTTGTTGATTTTTATCTACCTCATGGGAGTTATACATTCTAATAAGAGTGGAGTCCAACTTGTGCTTCATCGCTCTTCTTGGAATGTTTCTGCCAGCACATTGTCCTGACTGTTGACCCTGGCTATTGGCCTAGACAATAGTTTAGTGTGATGTATATTGTATATTAAAGTTAAAGGATAAAGTAAAAGACATTCAAATTCAAGAGAGATCATCATTGTCCGTAAGGGAAACTGCCATAAAAAATGTATCAGGTAAGGGGTTTTACTCGAGGAATGACAATGAAATCAGCAGTAATAGCAAAAAATATTTTAAAGATTTAATGTGGTCAACACTAAATTCTTTTGAAGGCTGATACTTTGACTTCTTGAATGCTGAAGAGGCTAAAGAAGTAGAAAGAGAATATATATGGGCCGGTCCCATTTAGTAAGACTTTTTAAAACTTGTGATGTATGTTTACCCTACCCCTGTTTTGAAAGGTACTTTGATACTAAATGGTCTAACTTGCATGACACCTTATGTATTTCTGTTGTCTGGCAGAAATAAGAAGAGGTATAATGTCTTTTCTTAGGACTTTCAATTTGCTTTTAAATTCTACTTAACATAAATACTTTTATGGAAAATCAGTTGCACTCCCGGGTCATGTCATGTTACACGAGTGACCACTTTCACCCTTGTCAAACTTTACTTTCCCATCCGCTATTTTACCACTCTGACCCAAAATCTCGAAGCATACTTTTAACTGAACACCTAGTTGCTTGTTAGTGTACAGAAATGTAAAGGCATTCATGCCCTAGCATGTGCACATATTCAATATATTTATTTGTATATTTCTTTTCAGAAAACTGTTATTCTACAGGGAGAACATTTTTTTCCCCTTCTGTCTTAGACGTCTCTGTTGTAAACATTACTCAAATCAGGGCAAATTCAAACCTAATGACATGGCTCTAACAAGTTCACATAATTCATTATGTATTATATTTCTATTATTTAACATACAGCTTTACTTCTTTTTCTGCATCAAAAGTGAATAAGATGACAACTTTTTTCATCCATTTCAGAGCAAGCTTTGCTCAAGGAGAAGAAGGAGCGGAGTGGGAAGAAGGTATGGTGGCATTAAAGTACTGTTTCCTTTTAGTTCCATATCACACATGCTGTATTGCAATTACAGGTGATGAACAGCTGCCTTTTTAAAAAGCATATGTTATTATTATTGTTTCCTTTGGCAGGCGCCGTTTCTTCCAACCCAAGGAAAATGATTATATGTTGCTAATATATTCATGTTGTCACACATGGAATTGATTTCCTGGAACATACAAATCTCCTAATGTAACTATCAGTATACCTCGAAAATTATTGAAACTAAAACATTCTCTGAATATTGACATGCAGGCATGCATAGAATAAACCTCATCAGTAAGTCAGAAGTAACCCCAGAAGAAGAATTTTTGATATGCGAAGACCCTAACTGATTCTGGCAGACAATTCAAGCTGTTAGCTTCAGTTTTATAATTTGTAAAGTTGTCATTATGGAACAATCAAAAGTGCAAATTTGTTTTAGCTACATGATTTATCTGTCTGACTGCCACTTATACTAAAAGATTCTATAAGGTTCCCTTTACATTTTCCTTTCAGAATGTAGGTGTGCAGAAGTCAAAGTACCCGAGAACCATTCCCTTCATCCTGGTGACAGAGTTCTGTGAACGCTTTAATTTTTATGGCATGAAAGGTAAACGAAATATGTTTACAATCTCTCATTTAATATCCCTTCCATTTTATGCATTTGCAGGATAAAAACTTTGTTTTGGCATCACTCTTTTCAACATGACGACTGCATAGTAAATGACCCTTAGACTTTTACTTTACTGAGATGAATAGAAGCACATTAACGTAATTGTGGCAATTTAATCCTGATAAAAGCCAAAGCAGACAGAAATGACAGAATTGATATGAAGTATGAGCAACATGTGACACCCTAAGACCTCCAGTATTGTTAAGTGCGTTATGTTTGTGAATGCATTATGCCCAGCTGTTACCTTTTTGATCTTTTTTGTCTGGTTTCTGACATTATGCTAATGGAAAGAACAGTGAGCTCCATCAGTTAAGAAAATCATTTTGTTTATTGCTCTTAATGCCTGCTATCAATGTGACAAATTTGCAAGATTTTTATTTTTACTAATTAAAAAAACCAGAACATTGCAAATTTCCTTGCACAAGTAATAAATGTTTTTTACTCATGAAAAGCAATGATTTTATTTGCAGATATATATATATACATATATATATCTATATATATATATCTATATATATCTATATATATATATCTATACATATATATATCTATATATATCTACATATATATATATATTTATATACATATATATATATATATAGAGAGAGAGAGAGAGAGAGAGAGAGAGAGAGAGAGAGAGAGAGAGAGAGAGAGAGAGAGAGAGAGAGAGAGAGAGATGCATGAGTTTTGTTTCACCTCTTCTGTTGTTCGTGTTGTTCCAATGGGTGTTAACACAGGGTTGTACACAGAAACATGGGTGACATAGAGAGCATTGCTTTGTATCTTCTGGAAAGTTGAGGGTTTTGTGGTGACAGAATATTTACCTCACAGTTGATATCTGATATTCATTAATGCAGACATTTGCAAAAAGCTGAGACTTTGTTAGTGTCCCCCAATCGTTATGTTGTTATGTTGTCTAGAACAGATTTTAGTATTTTGCCAAAATGATACTTGTGTCTATGGTGTAGTTGTAAGGCACTTCACTGTCACATGCAGGAGACCCAAGTTCAATTCCTGAGTGAGGAGGAAATTTTTATCGAGGATCTCATTCTTTCTGCTGGGATGTTGCATCTTTCTTTGCCTGAGTTTTGCCCTGACAGGCAGGTTTGGAAGCCTACCTTCTATTTCACAGGCGCAGTACCAAATTGTTTTTTTAAGACAGCGCATGTTTAGACCCCTTTTGAAAAAAGCTGGACTTGATGAAAAGAACTTAAAAATTTTTAGACCAGTTTCAAGTCTTTCATTCTTACCCAAAAATCTGGAAAAAGTTGTATCTTATAGACTCTTGCGGTATATTAAAGCAAATAGTCCTAACGACGTTTATCAGTCAGCATACAAGGCACGTCATCATACCGAGACAGCATTACTCAAGGTCTGTACTGATATTTTTAAAGGAATTAATGAAAGAAAGGTGTGTCTTCTTACTCCTGGACCTTTCGGCTGCATTCGATACCATTGGTCATGACGTTTTACTCAAGAGACTAAATACTACATTTGGTGTAAAGGGTACAGTCATGCGATGGTTTGAGTCATAGCTTAAAGATCAAACACAAGCAGTTGTGGTTGGAAGCATGTGTTCAGACAATGTTTTACTCAGATTTGGTGTTCCCCAGGGGTCTGTTATTGGGCCCGTCTTGTTTACAATGTATAGGCAACCTATTGCTGATCTTTTAAGACAATATGGCATGAATTATCATCTTTATGCAAGATGACACTCAGATTTATAATTCTATTGATTTTGATTAAATATCACTTGTAGTCGACTCTACTGAGCAATGTATTCGGAAATTTAAAAAATATGTATGACCAGTAATAAATTGAAACTGAATGACGACAAGACAGAAATAATGTTGAGTGGAAATGCAAAAGCCATTAGAAATCTCCCAGAACTACTAATTGACATCAATAATCATACCTTTGGTTCAAAGAGAAGTCTTAAAAATCTAGGGGTTTAGTTGGATTATGATATCTGTCTTTGTCCTCCCAAATTAGCCAGCTCAGCAAAAGTATCTATTTTTAGCTGAAAAAAATCGGCATTGTAAGAAATTATTAATTAACTAAAGCAGCAGCCAAGACATTAGTAAGAACACTTGTTTTATCAAAATTAGATTACTGTAATACTGTTTTATCTGGTTTGACGGCCGAAAAACTATCAGTTACAAGTACTCCAAAATCAAGTAGCAAAATTGGTAATGAAACAAAAGAAATCAGCGTACATAATACCAATTCTGAAAGAACTATACTGGCTGCTAGTAAAAGAAAGGATAAAATACAATACTGCCGTTTTCTGTTTTTAATGTATCAATAGTACTGCACTTATTTATACAAAAGGATTCCTGGAATCAACCCAGAGTCCTTAGATCAACCACTGACAATCTAATTCTTGGAACCCGAAAACAAAATTACAAAACATACGGAAAACGTTCTTTTTTATTCTTTGGTCTCCATTTATGGAACGAACTCCCATATAAAATAATGAATGCCCCTACTATTCGCATTTTCCAAAAGCAGCTAAAGTATTTCTTATTCACAAATGCATGCATGTCAAAACGATGAACTGTTATACATGCATGTGTATGCTCGGCCGTGAGACTGAAAAAATAGCGTGTGAGAATGAGAGAGAGAGAGAGAGAGAGAACGGAAATGTTTTTCTGTTTATAGAGAACAGATGTTTTTATTAAATGTTTCTAGCTATTCGCTTTCCAATTTTATTGTTAAACGTTCGTGAGATTTTATTGCATTCTATATTTTTAGCAAACGCGTATCCAGGCTCTCTGCGTGACTATTTTTCTCATATAGAATTTTTTTTTACATATACATTTGCCTAATACTATGTTTTACGTACACACATGTCCATTAATTTATAAGGTGCAATATTTTTATTAATGTAATGCGCATTTAGCATTTTTTAGAAAATGGAAATGGGCAGCATAAATGCTGTTTATTATAAGTAGTATTAAATTATCTAAATTTTGTTGATGGGGGTGTAAACAGGAACTTTACATTCTTTTTTTCTTGTTGTTGCCAAAGGGTAGTTTTGTGAGCAAGAGCTTAGACTTTAAAATAAAATGATGAACTTTTTATCCAGTAGAATTTTCAACTAACAAACAAAACGGAAAGTATAACTTTTATTTCTTTATCCATCGTATGGGCCTTGTTGAGGAAAACTATTGTCAAAGAAGATTGTCTTTTATCTCTTTTTTTTTTTCAATTTCTTTATCTTGCGATGTATGACAAGGACGTGTGGTTACTTGAGGGAGGTATTGCGCTGCCAAGAGCGAAACGCTCGCAGCTAAAGGGATTTGAAAACAACAACAACAACATCTTGCGATGTGATACACTAGCTGTAATAGCCATGTGCCTCATTGGATAGATTTTTTGGGTCTATTTTCTTCGGGATAAATGAGTTTTATCCCTTTTTTTCTTTGTTATTTTTTGCAATAAATGAGGTTTACTTGTCTTTTTTTATTTCGTTGTTCTTTTTTGTTTGTTCACCCAGCTATCCTGGTTATCTACCTGACGGACTGGATGGAGCTGCCTTACCACAGGGCTGTGGCCATCTTCCACAGCTTTGTCATGCTGGCTTACTTCAGCCCTATAGGTGGAGCTATCATCGCCGACAGCTACCTTGGTCGCTACAAGTGAGGACTCTTGGGATGGGAGGGAAGACAAAGTGAGATAGGCAGAGCCAGAAACCCACCTGAGAAATCATCTGAATTGTGTTAATGGGGGTGTAAAAACACCTACATAAGCGAAAGTGAGATCAGCATCTTTTTGTGTTGAAGAAGAATGGGGATTTGTTATTGTTGTCGCTGTTGCTTTCATTGTTATTGTTGCGGTTGTTTTTGTAGTTATTGTTTTTTCTCTTTTTCTCTTCCTCCTTCTTCTTTTCATCCTCCTCCTCTTCCTCCTCTCTTAGTAACTTTCAGGTGTAGCGGACTTAACGCTTTTCAAATCACTGAGCAAACAGCTCTTACGCAAGTATAATAAATGATACTATCTTTGTAGAAAGAATGTCTGAGATAATCATTTTGAAATCTTGCCTGTGCAGCTATCTATGAATGCAATTGTGGGTGGTTGGCGGGTGCGCTGGTGTGGTTTGCTTTTTCTTTCCTGTCAAACGTCTATCGTCCTTATCTCCCTTCATCTTTTTTATGTTTGTTACTCTCTTGTAACACCTCATATCTTCTGGCGCTCATGCAGTTGCGAGCGCTGTAAAACCTCTACTAAAACTGAGCGCTGTAAAACCTCTACTAAAACTTTTTTTAAATTTTGAAGTCTTGTCTGTGCAGCTAGTTATGAATGCAATCATTGTCTCTGGTCTTTCCCAGATAAAGTTTTGCTTTATGTCTCCTCAGAACCATTTTGTACATCTCCTTGGTGTATGCCCTGGGCTCAGTGGTTTTGTCTCTGACAGCTTTCCCCCCACCACACATGTGAGTTTTACTTGATGCAAGCTTTCATGGGAACTTTCTGTTGGTTCATGTCTTTGAATGATTGCCAGATAGCTTTCTAAAACATACATTCTCCTTTATTGTTTGAAAGGAAAGTTTTTTTTAGTCTTGTGTGAAAATTATAGGGAAAACTTGTTAATGGAGCAGATTTGGGTGAGTGTGAACTTCTATGAAATGATTATATTGATGCCCTGTTTGCATCCTGTTAACAATGGGAAAGTAAGTGGAAAACTGAGATGATAAATTCCATTGTTAAATTTACTCCGTTTAGAAAAAAGAAATCTCCTGCATATTTTTACCCTTTGTAATGTAGGTTAATAACAAGGAGTGTGTCTTTAAGTTGTGCTAAAACTTAAAAAGAAAAAACCGGACAGGCAGAGTGGTTTTCAGACATATGGCTACTACAAAAGAAAATGACAATATCGACCACCTTCAAAGAAAAGAACGGACCACAGTCTTCTGTCTGTGAACAGAACATATACAACTTGACTTCCACTTTAGCAGAATAAAACAGAATGAAACCTGAACTTGGGGGCTCTCATGGCCTAGAGGTTAAGGTGTTCGCCTCTCATTCAATAGGTCCCGGGTTCGAATCCAGATAGCGAAAGAAAATGTTCTCCTTTCACACCTTTTCCTGCTCTCTAACAATGTTCTGTCTTCTCCTTTCATCTCTACTTTCTGCCCCCCACCCTGTCACCTCCTTTACCCCCTCCTCTGGGCTCCTGACTCTTTCTACAGTGTTTCTACTGCTTCTCCTTGGCTCATTCTCTCTGCTGTCTTTCAACCACTCCCCTGATCTTATGATAGGTAAGATCTCCACCTAGCCTTCTCGGACAAGGGCGAAAAAATCTCGGAGGTCTCGTGTACAAATTGCACACGTTAAATATCCATTGGTGGTCCAAAATCGATAAGAGTAGGCTTTGGCCGCCACCCGTGCACATTCAAAATTTACTACCAACTGAAAATGTTTGGTGTGTCCAAGCGCTCATATGACCTTATGCAGTTGTGAGCACCGTAAAACACTTATAACCCCCCTCCCCCCCCCCCAAAAAAAAAAAACAACAACCAAAAAACCCACAACTTCCGCCAATGTGCCCTTTGTATGACTACACACATGAGACTGTGGAACATCACATGGTCTACTGCACAGCCCTAAACAATGTCAGAGCGACATTCTCCCTCTGAGACCTAACATTGACAACACACTCTATAGAATCACAATAACTGAAACAAAACTACTGTTATCACTGCATGGACAGAAAGGTGAGAGCCCAGCTGTTGCCAGATCGATAACAACAACAAATTCTATTGTATGCACAGGTTGATTTTTATTTGAGACAGTTTTGATGAAAAGGTTTGATAGGGATGTTCGAGATGAGCTGTTTGACACATCTGTGTGAATGTTTGAGAATAGAATGTTGTTAATACAAAGAAAATAATGTAGTGCTTCAGATGGGGAATGGTACACTGTAAGCTTTCCATGAATTCCAGTTTTGTCTATTCGAGTTATCTTGGCGTGACTGTTTGTAAGAAGGATTTTAATTTTGCATGCCTCTAATATATCATTTTATTTTCTTTCTACATCCCCCCTCCCCTCCTCTCCACCCTCCCCT